ATGAGGTTTGCAATTTCTCAGAACATTCTAACAAGGTTCTCTCAAAGTTATGAACAAATGTCCTTTCAATAACATCATTAGAATGTTCGGTCAAAGTTATCTTGTCTTTAATAATGTTCTGAAAATGTTATCATAAAAAAAGTTATTTATACATTGTTCATGGATTTTTTTTTGGTCTGAAACATCATAGTTGGACTTTCTTCTGATGTGTTTGAATGTTACTACTTGTTTCAGAACATTCAAAAGTAACGTTCCCATAAAGTTTGCAAAGTTATAAAATGGAATGTTCGTGTAACGTGCACATAACCAAGAAAAAAAATAAAATAATTCTAAAACATTTCAAAAACTGACTGTTCATGGGAATGTAGGCAAAACATTCTTAACACATATTTTTGTTAGCTGGGCTGAAACATTAAGCAATTAACATTAAACAGACATCAAAACTAAACTGACAATTTATTAGACAAAATAAGATAACTGTGAGATGGGTAATAGGGTTGCAAGTAACATGGTTGCCAGTTCCACCTGTATTAAGATCAGTAAGTGCTAAATAATTAAAGCAATGATAGTAAAAAGTAAAGTAACACACTCTAAGAAATGCTGGGTTCAGCATTTTTTAGAGTGTAATATTGTATGATTTGCAATGTTGTATACAGTAAAGATCGAGACAGACAGTAGCAACATTTTAGAACAGTTTATATAACATATATCTTATAGTCCTCAGTTTTTAATATAAAAGTGTAATTTAGTCATGAATAAATTGTAAAACTGTTATGTGGAGTCTTGTAAATTATAAATTAAAAACAATGCTGCAATACTGCAAGACACAAAATACACTGTGAACCTGCTGGTTAACAATCATCACCAGATGAAGTTTTCTGATCTGTTTCTCAAGTCAAATATCTCACTTTAAAATAAGAACGCAGCTGGAAAGTGTTAAACACCTGCGTTTTATATTCAACAAGCAGAAACAGAGCCAGAGAGCAGTGAGAAACGCGCTTGACCAGGAGAAGCTCCGAGACGAGAGCCTGTTGAAAGATGAAGCCTTTTATTTGATTTCTGAAGCTGCGGCTCCCGTGGGATTTCTGCACGCTCCGCTTCAGTCCTGAGTGTAATTTTAGCTCTTCCTTTAAACTGCAGCTCAGTTCTTCCCTCGGCCAGCAGCGCTGAGAGTAATGGAGAAGTGTTAGGACGGATACGAGGCCTTGAACACGTACTGATGGGGATTCACGCTTTGATGAATGCAAATCCATCCACCAAACACACCGTCAACGTGATGCAACACGGCATGCTGGGAAAACCAGCTTTGACTACATCAAACAACCTGGGCCGAGATCAAAATATTCATCCTGATAACATTGTATTTCCAACAATAGATATTAATGCTGTAGTTATTAGTGTTAATAACACTGAGGGTCTCTTTTAACCCCTAGTATAAGGCAACGTCCTAAATGAAATGCAATTTAAAAAGAGTTTATAAATAACATTTTGATAGTCCAAGCATAAAAATACAAAGCACAGGAAATGTGTAAACAGTCTATGTTGTGGTGTTATGTTTATAGGCCATCTTTTTTGAGGCTATGAAATATAATATATATATAATTTTTTTTTAATTATATCAATTAAAATGTCTTTATATCAAATATATAAAAAAATGATGGAAAAACATAACATTATTAAATAGTGCTTTATAAAACTAATGCACAAATCGATATATATTAATATATATATTATCATGAGATCTTACCTGAAATGTCCTCCATCCTTAATGAAAATTTTTTTTTGTTATATACAACATTCCACATCAAAAATATCTGGTATATATGATAGTTATTCTGGCAGTATGTTTGTGAGAGGAAATGAACAGAAGTCTATCAGTGCTTTGAGAGTACGCCTTTGTTATTTTTCATTTTTGACATAAAAAAGAAAGTGACACAGGTGTTTGTTAAATGAACAATATTATTGTACAGCACAGCGTGGCCAAAGTGATATAATATACACAATGAATATCTTGAGGAGAAACACAAAAGCCTTCGTCATTTTGAACATTGAGGGACCAATTCTGACCCTGACATGCTGCGGTAGAAGCAAATAAATAACTGACAGCATTTACAGATATGCATCTTTTCCTTCCTAAACAGTGAACGGAGAGGCACAAATCAACATTCATGTCACTCACACATTAATGTGCTTTTGGGTAGATGATGAATGTGACCAAGTGTCCCATTGTCAAAAAAAGTAGTAAAAAAGCACCTAAATCTGTGCACCGAACAGAACGTGGTTAGAGTGTAGTGTGCCTTGGTGGTTAGTGTGGTATGTGAGAAGTTATTCTAGTTATTTAGCGATACCAGAAGTTGTGTTACTGTCCACATGACAGGAACAGGCTAAATAAAGGGCTGTATTTACAGAATGTCCAGACATGGATGAATGATGAGGTAGCTACGTGAATGTTGCATATATGTTCATTACCATATGTTCATCTCAGTGCAGTACTAGCAGATGTTCATAAAGCATTGCGGTACTATTGCGTTATGTTATGAATTGTGTTCTGGCCTATTCAGAACTCAGTGACGTGTGAATTCGCATTTGCGTGCTGTAGCTTGAAGCATCTGCGTTCATGTCATTCAGATGTGCGCTGCTTTGGCATGATTTCAGTCAGAATTGATCCCTAATGTGAATCCACACAGTTGCGCCGCTGCATATAAAATTAATTCCTGTATTATCTTCTCTCTCACTATCTCGTCTGGTCGGCTCGAGACTGTGGCGGGTTCAAGTTTTCTGCGAAGAGTCTCGCCATTAGGAAGCCAATGAGAGCCTTCAGGAATGCAGAGAGAGATTCGACCTTGGGTGCGTTTCCCAAACATGACAAAACTCGCTGCTTAACCACCGTAGTGCAATGCAACTAACTAGTCACAACTGTTTCCCAAAACCGTAGTAGCATGTTCGCACTTCCGTCGCTGATGACAAAATAGGCCTGTCGTTAATGACGTCACACACATACGGTGGAGTAATAACGACTGCTAATTAATCAATTCAAGATTGCAAATAAGATGTGTTCACATTTACTGTTGCTCGGTAAAAATTTCACAGGCGAAATCCAGTCAGTCCAATCGGAATCTGTGTTATCGAGAGTTTTGCACAATCATGCAGATTTTGTTCACGTGAATTCACCATGCAACAGGCTTGAAAGTGCTTCAAACATCTCTACATTTTTTGCTAATTTTATTAATGTGACCGTACCTTTAATGTCCGATTATTATAGTTAATTTACACGAACAACAGAAAGCCATTTGTTTTTTAAAATCGCATTAATATGCGCTATGTAATTGGTTTATTCAGTCAGGACTAGTTAACTATTTGTGATCTCCCATCATTTTGCTTTATTTGATGTTTGATTCAAACACGTCATACTCTGGGATTCGCTTACACTTTTACTTACATGCACGCTCTTCAAAAACGCAGCTGATTTTTGACACACCAAAATATATAGATTGAAATGTATACAGTGCTGCAACCATGACGTCAAAACCCGGAAGAGTAATATGCCACAGGTTCCCTCCAGATTCTCCTATGGGGTTTACGTCGTAGAACAAAATGTCCAAGTATCATGAACTGAAAAAACCCATCGAAAAATCTCAGTTGATTTAGTAGATCACTCTAAATTGTAATGTAGATGCATGCATTTTCTGTAAAGCTGCTTTGTAGCAATGTATATTTGACAAAATTTGAATTGAAAATTTAAATGCAATGAAGGCTATAGAATGTACTGCATGTTATCTTGCTTAATGTGCAAATTGAGCATGATCTATTTAAGTCCACGTCATTCCAACAAGACGCTTATAACCGCAGGTCGAAAGTTGTACTTCCAACCACACAAGCTTGAGAATTGCTAAACTACTGTATGTTAGTGACCATAGTTGCTTTTGGGAAACGCACCCCAGGACACAATCAAACCCTGTGATCCTTCAGTCACAGCATTGAATCCAGACAGCCCACAGTTCACTTCAAGTAAATGACATCAGTAGTGTACGCCGACGTCCCAGTCCACGCAATCACACTGCTGCCGTTCTCAGAGCTAATGCTTCTCGGGATATTCCTAATGGATATCTTGGACTAATAGCCGTACAACGGTCTGCTGTCAAGCGGATCTAAGGGTAATAAGCTGTTTATAGGGACGGCGAGTTCGAAGGCCATTTTCAAAGTGATGCTATTGTGTCAACATGAGGTCAAACACCTCTCCTGTTCAATCTGCTGTCGTCTTCCAAGACCTAAAAATAAAGCTGGTGATAAAGACCCGCACCTGCCGCCCACCTTCATTCAGATACATGGCTATAAAAGCAGATGATGACGGGCACCTCGTTTCCTCAGCCGGTGGCTTAACAAGCCCAAAATAGGCCGTTTAACATACGGGCATCTGATTGTTTGAACACGGAGAGTCCTGGACTTCTGCCACGCGTCGTAAATCCTTTGAAACCTCGTCCCCTCCACCCACCGACTACATTCAGGCCAAAACATCAACGACAACAATAACAAGTTGTTTAAAAAAGCAGTACAGTGCAACACAAGAGGTGGGCGCTCCTCGTCCTCTCGCCGTCGGCTCGATTTATTGCTGAGCTACTAGAGTAAGATGACTGAGATCCCGGATAAACGCGTCACAAGCATCGTCCTCCCAGGATTCAAGAAGAGGTATTTTCAAGGACATCAGCAAGTTCACATTTAGGGAAGAACCGGCAGCAGCTTCCACGTCCAGCCCCAGCCAAATCCTGCCATGAATATTTACAAGTCCTCAAGGTGTCCTGGCGTCGTCCGAGGGCCGCACTGAGGTTGTTGGCGACACGTACAGAGAGTTAGCGGAACGAAAAAATGACTACTCACTCTGAAATTACTTACAGTTTCTTCCATCATATATAAGCACAGATCAAGAACAAAAAGCATCACTGTACAAGTACATAGTATTTGTTATAGATTTTTAAATTATTTTTCCATTTATATTTATGCTTTAAATCAAGTTATAATTTTTTTCCAGGTCTTTAAAAACGTCTCAGGCTGTCCTCCGCAGTCTCTGGCCCCGATGATGTCACGCGACGAGCAGCCAATCAGACCTTGGCCTCCAGCATCTCCAGGAAGAGTTTGTGCATGGGCACCTTGCCCTGCATCTTGATGCTGTAGAAGTGCTGGATGGCCTTGGTGGCCGTCTGCCGGAGCAGCGGCAGCGTCATGAGCAGCTTCCCCGCCCGCCGAGGGTCTTCTGTGTGCTGACAGCTCTCGTAGTCCTGCAGCGCTTCGTGAAGGGCGTCCTGGAGCTTCTGCACCGACTCCACGTCCTCTATGTGCATGGAGTCTGTCACCAGAACAACAAACATCACACATGCTGAGTACACGTACCGACATCTGTAACGTACCGACATAGTATTTTGTTTATTTTAAATCGTTTTAAAATAATAAATAATTTTAACAATAAAATAAAATTATATATTTATTACACTACCGTTCAGTAGTTTGGAGTCACTGAGATTTTATGGATGCATTAAATTGATCAAAAGTGCCAGTAAAGACATTTATAACGTTCCAAAAGATTTCAAATAAATGCTGTTCTTTTGAACTTTCTATTCATCTGTGAATCCTGAAAAATAAAATGCATCAGTTTCCACAAAAATATTGTGCCGCACAACCAGCAGCAAATCAGCATATTGTACTGATTTCTCAAGATCATGTGACACTGAAGACTGCAGTAATGATGCTGAAAATACAGCTGCGCATCACAGAAATACATTACACTTTAACAGATATTCACATAGAAAATATATTTACAATATTACCGTTTTTACTGTATTTTTTTGGTGAGCAGAAGAGACTTTCAAAGCATTTAAAACATTTTCTGACCCCAACATTTTTTTAAAATACTGTATATAAATACTGATTTAAAAAGTATTTATTTGACGTGAAATTGTGATATTTCTGGAAAAAAAAAAAAAATTGTGATATGATATTTTTGCCATATCGCCCACCCCTTGTTTTAAGCATAAACTCATTTAATTTTGATTAATTTTTTTCCGTTAATAAGACTTACTATCTTGTCATTTTGCTTCTCAAGTGAATCTATCATAATTTAAGGCAGTTTAGATATTTATACTGGAAAACAAGACAAAAATACTGAGGAAGAATCACGATTCGCATTGTGAAACAGAGACAGACAGAAGGCCTGTGTGTGTGTGTGTGTGTGTGTGTGTGTGAGAGTGTGTGTGATTGATAAACTGCTAATTACAAAATCAATGGCTATGAATTTTCGCAGCTGTCAGACAGCGGCAGTCCCGCGAGAGCCATCGGACAGAGCGTCTCTCTCTCTCCCGTCATCCCGCTGCGCGCCAAAGCCCACCATCAGCGTTTTCATCTCTCAGCCAGACAAAGAGAGACAGCGGACGAGACGGCAGAATAAAACGAGGCGGAGCGCGGGCCGCATTGATCAGGCGAGGACGGGGCCTGCCTTCTGAAAAGCCAGCTGTCGATACAGGCCTGAGTCTTCTCCCCCGAACGCTCGCTGATACTCATTCCATTCGACTTTACACATTTTATTGACAGCCCTGGTGTTCCTAATGAAATGCTAAATTTATCTGTGGCAGCGGCTGGGCCCCGTGGCTACTCTTATGGAGATAGAGAGAGAAACACGGCAGTGCTCTTCTGTTTCCACTCCCTTCATCTTTACACGGGCTGCGTCCGTCCTCAGGACTCATGTCACCGGAAACATGTGAGTATGCTCGAGTATACCATACTGATAAATAAAGCATTCAGTGAGAAAGTGTGTATACTGTACACGTCAGGTGGGTCAATCTTTGTATGTGGCTCCTTTTTAAGGCGCTTCAGAAATTTAATTGACGCAATGCAACATAACAGAGTAGAAAAATAAAACATTACAGTAGCTATTTTGGTTTTGGTTTGTATATACTTTAAGTGAAAGATGATATTGATCAAAACAGCCACTGTAAAGCTCTGAGATCGACTGTGATTCCTCTCTGTTACTGTAAATGTAACGGCTGAATGTGATGTGGTGACGTTGTGCTTGTCCTTGAACTTTTATTTAATACTTTTAATGTTAATATTTATCACATATTTTAGAGATTTGAAATTTAGGTTAATTGATTTTCTGTGCAGTTCTTGCCTGACAGTGAAATGTGTATGAGAGGAACAAGTGGAATATATGATGCTAAAACATCAAGCAAAATAAAATAATAAAATGATCGATTTATCTCAGAATGTGACAAATGTGACAGTTGGTTAGGTTAATCTGTTAAAGAAAAAATCTATATTCAAAGTCTCATGCTCACCAAAGCTGCATTTACTTGATGAAAAATATAGTAAAAACAGTAAAATTGTGAAATATTGTTATAATTTCAAACAGCTGTTTTCTATGTGAATCTCTGTTAAACTGTAATGTATTTCTGTGATGCGCAGCTGTATTTTCAGCATCATTACTCCAGTCTTCAGTGTCACATGATCTTCAGAAATCATTCTAATATTCTGATTTGCTGCTCAAGAAACATTTCTGATTATTATCAATGTTGAAAACAGTCGTGCTCCACAATATTTCTGTGGAAACCGTTATACATTTTATCTTTCAGGATTCACAGATGAATAGAAAGTTCAGAAGAACAGCATTTATTTGAAATAGAAATCTTTTGTAACATTATACATGTATTTACTGACACTTTGGATGTGCAATTTAATGTGTCCTTGCTGAATAAAAGTATGAATTAAAACAACAACAAAAAACTGACTCCAAACAATTGAATTGCAGTGTATGTATAAATGTAAAAAAAAAAATTATAAATGTAAAACAAACAAACAAATTAGTCTAAAGCTGCTGATACCTGAGTTGGCGAGTGCGATGGCCTTCAGCGTGACGAACTCCTCCTTCTCCACCTTGAGTTTCTTGTACTTGCGCACGAGCTGTAGGATGGACACGTAGAGGTCCAGCAGGCCCGTGAGCCGCGAGTGCTCCTCGTCCATCACGTAGTCCTCCGCATACACCAGCTCGTCCTCGTAGGGCAGCGAGCGGAACACGATGCTCAGGATCAGGATCTCCATCCATGCGCTCTGCAGTAGACTCATCTGGTCTCCCAGAGACAGGCTGGAGAAACCTGAGCAAGAGACGACACACTCTTCATTCATCAAACCATTAAACAGTCTGTACTCAGTTTACTGAAAGAAGACAGTATACTGTGTATAGAACACAATACACACACTCACTCACTCTCACACACACACACACACACACACAGACACAGACACACACACACACAAATATATATATATATATATATATATATATAGAACGGCAAGTTACAGGGATGTATGAGTTTTTTTCAGTCACAAGGTCTTTTTCTAACAGTGGTTTTTTACTTCTTAAATTGGATATTGATTGTGAATTCTGTCCTCCATATTAAAATTCTTATTGTTGTAATATTTATTACACACTTAAAACATACTACATATATTAAAATCATGTTTATTTTGGTTTACTGTTTAAATTTTGTTCAAAGGTCTACAATAGGCTATTTAATGGCAGATTTGGCAGATGTGACAACTTACCCCATATAGTGTGACAACATGCCCCTCTGTAGGTCAGTGTGTGTTAAATGAACTAATCAATAACGATGGAAATGTTTGATATTTTTTCAATGTCAAGACTTTAAGGTTTATGTCTGTACAGAAACCTCCCTCCTGGGCAGGGTTATTAGTTTTGTTACTTGAAATGAAATAAACATTAACTGAAATAAAATAAAATATAAAATAATTTTTATTTCAGCTAGTTGCCAAGGCAACATTTCGCATTTTAATTTAGTTTAACATAATGCACTAAAACAACTTAAACAAAAACTGAAATAAAAATGAATAAAAGTATATAGACATAAAAAAACTACTAAAAATGAAAAAAAAAAAAATATATGACTAAACTTTAGCTAAAAGCAACTGTATTGCTATGTTTAATACAGAAATACCAGAGTAAACACAGGACGAGGGCATTATCATTATGTGTTTCCTCTGACAGCTGTCAATAATGTGTGCAGCTCATCTCCACGACTCCGTCTGCAAGTCACACGCGTCGAGCTCACAGCGCTCCGATGATTAAAATGATTGCTTTACAAGTGCACCAAAGCAGCGCTATCTGCCCCGCTCACCATTAAAGAGCCGATAGATTACAGTATTGATCGACTCACCCCGCCACACCTGACCCCAAACTTTCATATGAATGCAGAGATGAGCGGGCGATGTGAGTGTTTGTGGGCTGAGAGACAGAAAGGGCCAGAGGAAAATAAGAAGGGGAATATAAAGGGGAAGCTGAGTGTTTAATTTCCTTTATCAGGTGGGTGAACAGCGGCCGGTCGTGCTGGAGGATACATTAATTAACAGATTGCGATCAGGACCGCGGGGCCCCTGACAATGTGAAGAGAGATCAATAAGGGCCTCGCAATGGAGGTGCGGGATGAACAGGAGCCGCCGGAGATCAGGTCAGCGCAGACGCGCTCCATACATACAGTCAGAAACACTTCACGCTACACAACATGTGAAAGACTTCAGTGATGCGGGCTCAGGACTGGGTTAACGTAAGCAGATTCATATGCAAAGTGCATTTGATTTTACTGGAAGGCCACGAGTGTCTTTGGCAAAACAAAGGGCCAGGCAGCGATGCCTAAACATGACACACTGCATACAACTCATGTTACGTCCACAGTGTGACAGCTTTGAGTTACACAGGATATTAAATAAGAAGAAAATATGAGAAATTATTGTTTTAAAACAGAATGGAGTCATACCTGAATGGGAGTGTATCTCACTGTAAAAAAAAAAAAAAAGAATTTTATATATATATATTTCAAAGTAAATAAAAAGATTATTGGAGCATATTTTAAAAGAAAATACTACTTTATTACTATTACAACTTAAAATGCCATGTTTAATTCATTGTGTTGCTTTGATATTGTTATTTGTAATTATTTGTCAAATTTGCTAGCAATTTCTGAGTGAAAATTATTTTTAAAAATGTTTTCAGTGCAGATATCATAAAACAGATTGTTATGATCATAAATTCTGATGAGCTACGTTTAAAAAGGAAATGCTGATCAACACACAATTATGATGCATATTTTATAAGAAACCTGAAAAGTTGCTACATTGCTTGGAAAAAAAAAAAGCTTATGGTTAGGCTAATAAACTATAATACTTGGAGGAAGAATTGCTTATTCTGATTTCTTATTGTTTATTCGGATTCATTTTTTATATCGTGTTTTATACAATATAGTTTCTTCTCAAAGCAGCTTCACATTAATAAACAGGAATTTAATAGTTCATGTTATAAAATTCATCAATTAAGCAGCAGCTCTACAGAAGACAACAGCGTCATTATTGAGTTTAGTTCACTGTTGATTCAATTCAGTTTAATAACAGTGTTGATCTTGCAAAGTTAGCATCATTATTCAGTTCAAATTTAGTTCTCATTCAATAGTTCAGTACAGTTAAATCAATAATATTACTGATTATTAATATTAATGGTATTGTAAACCCCAAATGTAAAACACTTTACTGAATATTAGTGTCTTTTATCATTTTGCTGCTATTGAGGTTTGCTTTGTTTCAGTCACCGACTTATGTACACTAATGTTTGTTGGAAACACAACAGTTTATGAAGCTGAGTGCTGACTTCTCTTCAAATGGGATTTACTTTATAAAAATCTGCTTTGACACATAGTTTCTCATGTTGAAATGTTTCTGAAATCTCGGTGGTTTTTACTCTCAGTGCAGAAACAGCTGCCATTGTGATCTATCTTAAGCACTAGTAAAAAATGTAATCAGTTTTTAGCTTGATTTTATGCAGCCCAATAAAATTCACTGCTGGAAACATCTTCTATAACAAAGACAAGCTCGGCCACCTCCCCGTGATATATTTCACGCTCGCTAACTCAAAGCCAGCAATTCTGAAAATAGACAAACGCCGAAACCTTCGCAAAAAGGCTTTTTATGACTCTGGTAGCCTTTTATAAACAAAATAATCATAAAAAACGACAAGTTTTAATCTGCCTGCATTCACAAGCTTATATTTGAAGATTTATCCCTGTCAGTTTATGGCTCTGGTCTCCTGCTCCTGATAGTTTGTTGGAGGAGTTTGTGTGAGTTTCACTGTCAATCAACAATCCTCTCTCCAATGAAACTCTACATGACACTGAAAATAACCATAAATCATTCTTAAGACATTTGCATTATGCACATATCATGCCGTGCCAAAGTATATTTGGTGGATAAGGAGTCCATCTGTGAATTTAAGGTGATTAGAGCACCTTATTCACAGAGGAGAATATTTTACAAGTCATACGATGAAGTCACGACCCCATCGGCCGTTAAAAAAGTCTTGCTTGTTTTAATTAGGGCAAGATATCAAAGGTGAATAGAATACAATTTTAACATATATCACCATACTTCCTCAGCTAATTAATCAGAACATTAAGACAATGTTATGTTTACATATACAAATCATTTAATAAAATATGATCTAATTTGCATGCTTTTCCAGAACAGAAATCTGAACTTTGGATAAAGCCAGGTTTACTGTAAAATTCTTGTTTGATTATGTTGACATATTAAAGGTTTTTCCAGAGGGGATTTTGGATTTCTCTTTTTATCACTCCATAAATCTGAAAATACTGACAACAGACAGAAAATAACTACATTTCCACCACATTTTTAGGAATATAATGTTAAATATAAATCATACGTTAACAAACCCCTCAGTAAACCCCTTCAGAATATACATAGGAATACAACTCTAAAGTTTGGTGTATTGTATGTAAGTGCTGCTGAAGTGGAGAAAAAACTCACATTCTTTAAAAAAAATATGTATTGAAATTGGCTTAATAAATAAAAGATGTGTTAATGAAGATGGTTTGTGTGAGGGTCAGAGTATAGAAATGATCCTGAACTCACTATAAAAGCAGCAGAAGTCCGTGCACAGTCTCCATTGTGATGAGAACAAATGTGTGTGTTTGTGTGATTCCTCTACATTTGGCATGATATCAGCTGGGACCCAATCAATACATGTCTGCTCATAAATTACGCTGCTCCATAAATAATTTCAGCAGTGCTGCTGCTGCTCACACGAACGAGCATTGAGCTCATGCGTCTGTCTCACGCCAACGACAACAGAGAGCACAATCAAATAAAAGCTGTGCAATGGATTCCATCTCAGAGTGTTTATGTCATTCCTGATCATATCAGCCGGAGGAACACTTCTATAGTCTTATTAGGTAAAAAATTAGACACATATCATATCAGAACTTAATAATTTCACATATGTGCTCATTCAGAATCAGAAAACAACATACAGCAACCTTGAAGTCAAAATTAAATCAGATTTCATAATTCATAGTCTTAATGTGAATGATTCATCAGTGACGTGATTCTAAATATAAAATGTTTGTCTTCATAATCTTCCTTCAAAATGTAAAACTATCTCTATCTCTGAATTCCTTTCTTTCTGCGTCACGTTCTTTTACTTTTCAGCCCATCTGTGATACATTTTTTTTCTTGTTAAATATGATGCATGGAAATACATGTCATAACTAACCCAGGCTCACTGGAAAAAACACTTGCTGAAGCGACCATGCCTTTTCTTATGTTCTAGGAACGTTTTGCCAAAGTTCCAATTAAGTTATGAACATTTTATTTCTATATGTTTTCTGAAAGTTTAAAACGTCCAGGTTTTTAAAACATTTTTTCTATTGGTTATGCCTTTTTATTATTCTGCAAACATTAGGAAAACCTCACTTTTGAATGTTCTCTTAACATTCGGAAACAAGTAATTACATTTAAAAAATGTTAGCCAAATGTCCACCTAAAATGTTTCAGAAAAAAACATTTCATGAATATATAAATAACGCTGTTGTGCTAACATTTTGAGAACACTATTAAAAAAAGAGCTGTCAACAAATGTTCTATTACTGTTAGTTCATAACTTTGAGAGAACCTTGCCAGAACATTAGCCAAAGTGCTGAGAGCGTTCCCTGTTAGCTGGGCTTCTACAAGTCTTTCAGCTCTTTTATTGTGATGTGTATCGTGACTTGCATCACAATGCTGTACCAGTTGAGTT